ATTTGGAGATTTTGTTAAATCCTGATTTAAGAACACGTTAAATTTGTTACTCTGCTGTCCAAATCTGATTAGTCCGGAAGCTGGAAGCAGACATTGGCTGTTTTCATTCCGAGGTTAACTTCTCCATCTACTATTTATCTCGGCAGAATAGTGAACGGGGGCTCAGCAGAACAGTGAACGGCTGTTACTTTTCTAAGTAGGGAGGGCGGAATTAAATTAAGTCACAGGAGGATTTCCACAGATATGTGCATCAAAAGAAAGTCCAATTTTTGTTTTGTTTCTTCTTGGGGTTCATTTCTTGGTGGGTTTGTCATTATTCCAAATGAATAGATTAGCTTTTCTAATTCTTCTTCCAGGTGATTTGGACTACAAACCCCCATAACCCAATAACAACGAGCAGTTGGAGGCAATGGGTATTGAACTGTCCATAAGGAAAGGAGTGGTAAGACTCTGCCAATGCTAATGGGAGCTACAATTTGAAAGATTTGGGGGGAATTGGATAAACTTAGAATAGTTTCAAAAATATAGTCTTTAAAATACAACCAATAGTGGTTACCTTTTTTACACAAATCCAAGAGGCATTCTTGATACCAGAAAAAGGGGTAGATAAGCACCAGCTTGAGTTGTATCCCATGCAGGTTTCTCAATAGCTGGATTCACATAGATAATGCAAACTTCTTATTGTTGAATTCAACTCTAGGTGACCATGCAACAGATCCATGGCTGATGTATCTTGGAACCATTCTGAAGTGGTGTTCTGACCCAAACCTTGTTCCAAGGAAACAAACATGAAACAGAGGTAACAGCAATGATTCTTTACGAATTCCATTCCTTCACGGTGAAAAGGCTGTTTCAAACTAATTGTCTCTGATAAGAATGAACCTTGCCAAGGTTGTGCAAGGCTACCAAGAACACTAGATAAAGTTGCCAAGAAATATTTCAAACACAAAGAGTCTCCAAACACAAACCAGGAGAGTCCGGACTTCCACAAGACTTGAAGTGCAAGAACTTCTTTGCTTCCTGCAAAGAATCCCACCTCTGAGGGCTGGCTTTTATCCCTTAAGGGAGGGGCCATTACCTTGCAGCCTTACTCCCAAGTCATCTGTGCTGCTGCAGCTGCTCTTTCCTTCGAGCAGCCCTGAGCACACGCGCACTGGGCACAGGCTCCTCGGGGACCTCTTCATCACTGCTGCCAGGCTCCACAATCTCCGAAGGCAGCATTCCACTCCCTGATAGTCCTGGCCCCATCCCTGCATCACACACAGGCCCCTCATCTGAGTCCTCACTCTCCGAGACCTCAGCCATCCTCACCTGCTGCTGGTGAACCACAACAAGTAGCTGCCTTTTCTGCAAGGTGTATGTATTTCTGAGATTTACAGACTGTTCCAACTTCTTACCATTCTGAGTGGCTTATATGCATTGATGCAACAGTATAAGATACAGTAAAAATAAAGAATTATGTCATCAAAAACCATCATTGAAAAAAATCCAAAACATTGCATAGGAATCTACCATCCTACTCTGATCCAAGCCTGGACAGAGGCAGGTTTTAAGAATTCATTTAAATAGGGGCATGGGGGCAAGGGAGGCCTATTTAAATGAACCCATGGGTGAGGGATGGTGTCCCAGAGGGCAAGGAATGCTGGTTGGTTGGTTTTCAAATCTTGCTGAGATTTTGCTGAATTAGGATTTTTCTGGGTGCTTGCGGGGGGGGGGGGACTAGCTACAAACTGAGTTTCAAAATAGCAATAAGAATAGCAGTAGCTCTTAGACTTATGTACTGCTTTACACAGAGGTGGTATTCAGCAGGTTCTGACCAATTCTGGAGAACTGGTAGCAGAAATTTTGAGTAGTTTGGAGAATTGGCAAATACCACCTCTGACTGGCCCTACCCCCATCTATTCTCTACCTCCCGAGTCCCAGCTGATCGGCTGGGTCTTCTTTGGTTGCCTTGCACAGGAGAATGGAGCTGGAAAGAGGTTAGTGGGGTGGGGAGGGAATGAGATTTTGCAGAACCTTCCCCTGCCAAGCCCACCAAGCCACGCCCACAGAACTGGTAGTAAAAAAAATTGAATCCCACCACTGGCTTTACAGTGCTTTACAGCCCACTGTTTACAGAGTCATCATATTGCCCCCAACAATTTGGGTCCTCATTTTACCCACCTCAGAAGGATGGAAGTCAATCTTGGTGAGATTTGATCTGCCAAATTGCAGGCAGCCAGCAGTCAGCAGAAGTAGCCTGCAGTACTGCACTCTAACCACTGTGTTACCGCGGCTCCTAAATAGCTCTAAAGTGTGTGTGTGTGTGTGTGTGTGTTTTCTTAAGTTTTTGTGGGTACTTACATGTATGGTATTCAGCTTTGTTCGGGTATTTTCCCACATCATTATAGTTGTGCTTTTAAAGTTGTAGCAACGTTTTGGCAGAATCTCATCTGCCATCATCAGGCTTCTGTATTGTGTTTGTCTGCGAGTCAGACTTTCACAGCCATTTCTGTTTTAAATTTGGGGCTAGCCTACTGCTGTGCCAGACTGTTCCATACTTCTGGCACAGCAGTAGGGCAGCCCCAAATTTAAAACAAACGGTTGTATGACCCAACCAGCACGGTTTCGAAGCCAGACTTTTTTGCTTACCAAAAGAATCCCACCAACTGTGGCTTAGCCAGGAAACCACCAATAATTCCTTTCTCTTCTTTGATGGATTTTTTTTCTTATTATCCATTTTTGTTTGTTTTTTTTCTGGCTAAAGAATTCTAAAGAGCCCCAAAGCTTTTTAACAGGTTTGTGTGTCTGTTCCAGTCTCATTTCCCCTGTCTGGGCTTCACTGTCATTGCCCAAGTCAATTTCTCCTGCAGCAGAATCAGATTTTGTGTTGAGTTAGATTAGGGGTTTCTTGAGGACCTGTGGACTTCAACTCCCAGAATTCCCCAGCCAGCCACACTGGAAGGGAAATTCTGGGAGTTGAAGTTCACAAGTCTTAATGTTGCCAAGGTTGGACACCCTTTAGATGTTGAGAATAAATAAGCACGTAAAATCAAAAGCAACCCCAGTCCTGCTTCATCCTCTCTTCCCTCAGCCCCAATTCCCTTTATTTTCACCTGTAGGTACGCCCCGCCCCTTTCTACCTGATAGCTCCGCCCCTACTCCTCGCTCCGGGGCTCCTTCCCCTACGCCACCTGCTGGACACGCCCCACCTGGGGAGCTCCTCCCCCTTCCTTCGCGCTCGCGGGCTCCGGCAGGTGCACTGCTACTCCGGCTCTTCTCCTCCGGGCGAGCGGGACGAGCGCTGCGCCTCGGGTCTTCCTCCGGGGGAGCCGGCGCAATGGAGCCGTTGGCGTTGGCGCTCGGGATAGCAGCTCTGCTGGGTGAGTGCGGGGCTGCGAGGCGGGGGGCGGGTGTGTGTGCGTGCTGGGGAGTAAAGCGCCGATCCTGTACCCGTCGCTGGTTGCGATCCTGAATATTCAGTCGGAGGAGGACGGAGAGAAGGGGGGCTCTCTTGCGATGCTCGAAGGTTTCTCCCGCGGGAGTTTCTTCAGGTTTCTTGCAAACTTTGCAGGTCGGCGCCGCCTTGGGAGCAAGTCCCGTTGGGAGTAACCTAGGAGTAACCTAGGAGCAGTCTGCAAAGACCCCGGTGGGGAGAGGAGGAGGCAGCTGGGAAGGGCAGGCGCGGGGATATGCGCGGGTTTTAGAGACGCTGCCCCTGAACAAGGGAGGGGTGATCGGATCAGTGCAATTTAGGAGGAGGGGGATGCTGGAAAAGGGGGGGGGGGGGGGGGGGGGGTGTCCTCCCACTGGTTGATTGAGGAAAAGGCCCCTCCGGAATCCTGCTTAGCGACTGTCAGCCGGGGCCAAGGACTCCGGATTAGCAAAGCGTGAGAAGCAGCAGCTGGGTTTGCCCTGGGACGCTCGCGCCGGTCCTTTGAGGTTCCTAACTTAGGGGCGCAGCGTTTGCCTGCCTGGCCGGGGGGGGGGGGCGAGTAGGTGTATGTCATTATAATCACACAGCGCCCGAAGGCCCCCACCCCCTAGATATGGGCGACATGGTTTACAGAGGAAAGCTAACTTTGTGGACCATTCCTTCTTCCTTAGAGCTAATTTGGCAACTAGCTTTGGTTTCTGTGGAAGCCGCTTAGATCCCCTGTAGTCCCGCGTAGGTTCTCCGCCTCGCTTTGCTAGTGCCTTTTTTAAATTATTGTTTTGCTTTTCATCAGCACCCGCGGAGTTATCATAAGCGCATCAGCTAGGAATAGCCTTAACAAAGGAGTTGACAGTGGCTACTTCACAAAAAGAGAACGCCTCTGGGGTAGTAAGATGCTTTAGGAAGATGTCAACTTCTCTGGCACTTCCAGAGTTGGACCTCAGGGCAAGCATACAAGGCCATTCAGTTTGGGGAGGGGTGGAAGGGTACCCACATTATCCTTAGCTCTTGAGTAGCCAAAGTGATGTGAGCATTTCCATGAACCGAAGAGGTCTCATTCAGGTATCTATTTCAGTAAGCAGTTGGCTAAATATACTCATAGTTACAGGTGCTAAATTTATTATTGCGTTTTTCAGAGATTTGCTTTCCCTTCTCTAAAAAAAAAACACCATGTAGTGTTTCTTCCCAATTTAAAGCATGTGGTTCATCAGTCTATGAAACCTGGGTTTTAAAATTATCTAGTTTCCTGCTAACTTAGATGATAATTCATCTGGAATGCAATAACTCCCTTTGTTTTTCCCTTCCTGCCTTACATTGAGAAACCACTAAAGACCATTTCTTGCATCACGGGCTCTTTTCTGTGATGGCCCCAGATTCTGCATAACAATGAAGAAGAATGTTTTAATCTAATTAGTTGCCTTTTAATATTAACAAAAAAATTGCATACATTAGTAATAGACCTTTCATATGGAAGGTCTCCAAAATTCCAGTTATTGTGAAGTTATTTCATTTGTTTCTTCTTTTAACACAGATTTTTTTTTTTTGGTAGGATTAAGTGTTTTTTAATCAGGGCAACGTGATCTATCCAACTATGGGATGAAGCATACTGCTTCTGCCTTTCAGTCCCAATCCAAGAGCCTTTACAGGCAGTCACTTTCACGACAAACTATTTTTGTGTTAAATTTATGTTTTACTGACAAAGAAATAAAGTGAGACTAGTATAGATCTATTTCAAGCTATTTAGCTCTCATCAGCTAGCCATATTCTTCTGGGATTCAAACCCCGGCTTCTTGGATATTAGGTAGATGTATTAACCTCTAAGCCACAGGGTCTCCTCACTTTGTTGGCTGTACCAAGGGTAGGATTGTAGATGGAAGAAAGTGATGTCTACAAGTAATGTGGAAGAAAAGGTTGAGAGCACAGTGATTGTCATGGAAGTCAGCTGAGATCCTTGGAGACATTATATCAGGTTCTGCAGATCCCATAAATTAATGGGATAATCTGCTTCTCTGAATGGTGATCTTGTAGGAAAGTAAAATGTGGTGACAAGTGTAATGCTTAAAATTTTGGACTTTGGAAACCTACTTTCAAGCCCTCCCCTGCTACATTGTGGAACGCTCTTAGTAACTTTTGGCCAGTCACTCTGTTTCAATCCAAGTTACCTAACCAATTTTGGGAATTAAAGAAACTCGATCACCAAGTAGATTGCCTGGAATTCTCAGAAGGATTATGGAAAGTAAATGCAATAGGTTCAGGACTGTATAGGTTGAAAACATGCAGAAGAGGCTTTCAACTTGCAGAGGATAGACAATGGCTAAAATGATGATGAGAACATGCAATAGATAATGAGGTTTGAGTCATTTATGGATTCTAAGGGTTAAGGTTTCCATATATACTTAGCTAGCACCTAAATACTGGGAGAACAGGCACAGCTTCTGGTAGTGCTTTTCAAATAGATGGGTTGAAACGAGAGAGGATCTGCAGTTACAAATACCATCACTTCCTTAGCAGCCCATTGTCCATGTGTCAGCTTATAATAATAGTGTATGAGTCTGTCCTTAGATATCTCGGATGTCTTGGGAGTAGACATCAGACTCACCTTCAGTCACTGTGATGCACCCTAGTGGATTCTTCTGCCTTAGTGGATCCATCAGCTTTTGATTTTTCTGAGACTGACATAAAGGAAGATAGATGAAGGGGGGAAACCCCATTCTTCATCAATAGAAATAAAAATATAAAACCATGGTTGTCAGATCAGCCAGCACTGACTTCAGCAATTCCATAGTCAAAAAGCTGAATGTTATTTTCACTGCAGCTAAAATGTGAATCTTGTATTCTACCTTCCAGAAGGCAAACTGGACTTATGCATCCCTCTGAAGCAAGGAAGCACTTGTTTTAAATAGTAGCTTGCTCTAGGTGTTATTCCAGAGGTTCCCAAATTTGCCCAATTTTAAGACTTGTGGACTTCAACTCCCAGAATTCTCCAGCCAGCAGAGAAGAAGGGTCTTATGGTCTTGGGTTAGAGCTGGCTGGAGAATTCTGGGAGTTGAAGTCCACAAGTCTTAAACTTAGGCAAGTTTGGGGACCCCTGTGTTATTCTAAGCTGTTCAAGGCACTTCCATGCAATGAAATAATTTAGAGTCCTGGTCCACCATTCCAGCTGGCTAAAAGCCAAGAACTTTCCCCTGCCTGTTGCTGGTGCAGCCTGCCTGTTTCCATCTTGGCCCTTTCTTCTCCTCTGCAGAATCCTACTGCTAGTAGTAGCTTCTGTTTCTCATTTCTGTAATTTCCTTAGCATTCAGTTGAGTTTTCTGTTCACTAAGCAGTGGGGCTGCGCATAGATCTGGAGTTGAAGGTCAAACACGACTTTAGGCACCTGCCTGAGTGAGAGAACCTGTTGGGAATATTTCTTTATTTTATTCTTTAATGTCTGCACTATCCATCTCACCTAAGTGTCTTTTATAGCAGCATCATTAAACCATATAAATATATGAATAAAAAAGCATGTCTTAAAACAGAGTTAAAAACAAAACTTACAGGCAACAATAAATCAGGTTCAAAACCTTCTACCCTCATCCTTGAGAAAAGAGGCAAGAACTCAGAAAAGCCACAACTGCTTTAAGACATTCCAACAAGTGATACTTGTCCTTCCAGGTGTGCTCAGAGTCTCATTCTGTCCTTTAAATAGAAAGGATGTTGCAAACTGAACACCAGTTTCCAGGAATTCTTTTTAACTCATATTCCAGCATCAAAGTTTTCCGTTTGGTGAGGGTTAGGGGGACAAGAAAAGAAATGTCCTCAACATTGAGGCAAACTCTTGTGAAAGTCATAGTAGCTCTTGCTCTTCACCCAGATCCTTGGATTATCAATTTCCTAACCTTCAGTTGGCAGGGCCAAAGCGGTGAGGGATATGGGAGCTGTAGTCCAGAGCAGGGGTCTTCAACCATGGCAACTTTAAGACTTGTAGACTTCAACTCCCAGAATTCTTCAGCCAGCTTTGCTCTAGATGTTCTGGCTGAGGAATTCTGGGAGTTGACGTCTACAAGTCTTAAAGTTGCCAAGGTTGGAGACCCCTGGTCCAGAGTATCTGGACTGCAGATACTGCTTCCTCCTGCGTTCACCTCTTTACAAGATTCCTTGTTTCAGAGATTGAAAACAGGGCACCCACTTTAAAACTGGCTTGGCTTTTTGACTTTGTGAACCAGGGCTTTTTCCTGCGCCTTTGTTTGTTTGTTCTGTTAGAACTTGGACTGTAAACTCTTCATTCCGGCACAACTGATAATCTCTGTCAAACATTGTTCAAATGCCAGAAATCCTTGAGCCAAAAGTATCATGAAAATTTTCTGTGAAACCAGGAGTTTTTCTTAAACAAGATATTCCTGTAGTCAGATCTTTAGGACTAACAATTGGCCCACCAGTCCTGGTTGCCTGGAAAAAGCCAATGAGTAGGAAGACATGGTGGTTTTTGTAGCTTATGCATAATGGTAAAAATAGAATAGAAAGGGCTGTAATTGACGCACTACATGGCCCTGGAGTTGGCCCTGGGGTTCTGGACTCATTTGGAGTGTCAGAAAGTCCCTGCTTTCTAGCATCCTATTATTATTTTTGGTAACAAAAATACAGTATTTAAAAAATAAAATTGTGACAATTGATGACCATCTAAGCGGGTCTCCATAGGGATGTGGGTAACACAGTGACAAAGCATCTTGATGTGCCCTATAAAGGTCAGAAGCTCTAGGACAGAAGCTTCCAAACTTGACAACTTCAACTCCCAGAATTCTCCAGCCAGCAGAGAAGAAGAGTCTTATGGTCTTGGGTTAGAGCTGGCTGGAGAATTCTGGGAGTTGAATTCCACAAGTCTTACAGTCGCCAAGTTTGGGGACCCCTGCGTCTAGGAGAAACAGAATTCAAACCAAGATTATTTCCGTTTCCTGTCTTCCCTGGTTG